ACATTGTTGATTTCTTCAAAGTTAGTGTTAGGATGGAGAAAATAAAAATTAAAATATGAAGTTCTACAGAAGAATCACTTGATATTTATTTAGGAGGTTCTAGAGGTTTTGCGAATTAAATAACAAAAGTGTAAGATGAAAAGATGTATTTTTAGTCTTAGTATGAAAATCACCTTTCATTCAGACTAAGTAATTAAAGGCTTTGGAAATTAACAGAGAAATTTCTCGTACAAATATGTTTATATTAAAAACTTTTTATGTCAAGCTGACTTTTAATATCTATTAAAAGCTTATCAATTTTTGTGAAGACACACACAGTAAATTCAAAGTTATATCAAAGAGGCTAACATTCTCAGGCAAATTCAACATATCTCTGCCACACAATCCAAACATGGCTAAGTTTGACACCAGAAAAATTGTGAGAAATGAAGAAAAATCAAACACTGTCTATATCAGTGGTTGGGGCCTACAAGAAGGTATCTTTGTACCAAATCCCATGAATTGGTCAAAATATGTACGAGTAGTTGACCAAAAAATCCAAAATTATGCTTCCTTTTGAGTTTGAACCCTCTTTAAAAGATTCAAAATTGTCAAGTCCAACTTTTTTTGTATGTCAATGTGCTGGATGCCAGTTTTCATCTTGTTTGCTGAAAATATGACTGCACAGGATCCCAAAATATTAATTTTTGGATTGTGTGACTTTTGACCACATAAAATCCTTAAAAAGGCCTAAATCAAAAATATAAAAAGGGATCTGGGCATATTAGACCAAGGTATAATAACCCTAACATGTTTCAAGTCAATCTGTTGAAAAATGAAGGAATGGCAGTCGATTGGAAAGTGTTTGAAAGAAGAAACAATAGAAAAACTATATCAGGGTTCTCACTAGGATCCCACGGTGAAGGGTATCATAGGTAGAATATAATAAACTAAAAAAAAAAGGAAGAAAACCACTTCAGTGTCAATGAAAAACTTAATTTACAATTTATTTACATTGCACATTGTTTCTCTTTAATAGTTCATGAGTGCAAAGTAATTTTCCCAACAAGATTAAAAATACTTTTCTTCATCTGAAAATTTTCTGATATCATATGCATAACTTCTAAAATCTCCTAAATAAATATCAATTTTTTTTTTTTTTTTTCTAGGAAAACTTTATATTTTATGGTTATTTTCTTTACTCTAAATCTATATGAGGTCAGTTGATTTGACTGACCTCGTAACCACCATAAAAAAATTAGGAAATAATTATAGTTTTCCCCTATTTTCTTTCTGAAATGACTGCAAATTGCAACAGGTAAAACACAATTGTTTATCCTAAGTAGCTTAAAGGTTGTAACAGTATACATTGATTTATACTTAAATTTTATTGTTTTATTGCCCTTTGAACCATGTCTAACTAATATTCGTGCCATATAAATTGCAAAACATGTGGTGAACATGTAGATTATGGTATCAAGTTACATAACATACAGACTACTTGAGAGTATACTTCGTGAAAAAAAATATCATTCGTATTAATTATTTTACTTTATTTAAACTAAAAAGTTTTCAATTTTTTCATTTTAGTTATCTTTATAATAACAAAGAATACACATGAAAACAAGAAATAAAGTACATACCTGCTGTCAAGGAAACTTAACCCTACTTTTTAATACTAATTGTACTACTGCATTAAGTAATTTCTATTTAATTGAATAATGCACCAAAGAACACAGGATAATAACGTGAAAAAAGAAACAATGTTCCTTAGCTATCACAATTTTTTGGGCTTTCTACTTGTGTGAAAGCCATTAAAAATTAAGTTAAGCTCGTTATTGTGTTTTCTGTGGGAATATCATTTGAACTGGAAGGAAAATAGACAATTCTCTGTACAGATAACAATGTAATATAACATCTCCTTTGATAGAGAAAAAAATTTGGCTTTCTATTGTTTCTAAAAAAAATAGTCTTAAATGTTGGAGACAGCTATTGGCAAGTTATGAACGAGAGGATGTGATAGGTGGGCGTAGTAAGAGAGGGTCTGATTTTCTATTTTATTGCTGTGTAACTAAATAAGATTGAAGACTGTAAATTTTTCTTTGCCTGAGTGATGAAAACATTATAATAAGTAATTTACATTAAAGTGTACATTTTTTGGAGGGGTGGTAAAAAAATTAGAGAAGAGGAAAGACTTAGATAATAAATGTCTGTTTTCATACTAGGGGAGATTGAGAATTTTTTAAGATATTTTCTTATAAAATTAAGAAATTAAAACGTAAATAATACTAAATTTTGATTTATGATGCCAAATTTATTCATATATTTTGATAATAAAGTAGTTTACATTTTGAATATAACTCTGTGGAAGGTTGTGACATGCACACTTTCATACCTGAGGTGAAAAGGTTAATCACGTGGTACTTTCATGTGATTTTATTTTCATGTTATTTATTGTTACTGTTAAAACATGTTAGAAGTTAATTGTGGACAGCTTTGTGCAAACTGTATACTGTTTAGTTTGTTATGGTACAAAGTTTGAAGCAAAGTACATATGCTTACCTTGGGTATGGGGCATTCTGCAGTGCTTATTTGGAACCAAATCTCATGCATCCTGACATATTCTTGTGTGTATGGGACCAAGGAGTTTGGGTTAACTAGAACCATGAATATGTCTCTCTGTGAAGGCATAAATATGTATAATTTTACAGTTTCAAGACTGGTCGAATTCACAAACATCTCACTGAAAAAGTTAAATACTAAACGAAGAATTAAAGTGTTGTCTGTCAGTGTTTAAATTACTTTATTGTTTTGGCATTTACCCAGAGGCATATAAAGATGAGAATGGTAGAGTTCACATGGTACATGGTTGACTTGATATTTTTCAGAGTTATAGGCTGCTCGTGTTCCATTTATAGAGACAGACTAATTAAAATTATTTGCTCTGCTTTGTGTAGGATTTGAAATTTTGCCAAACCATTTAAATTGTCATTAATCTCTTGCTATTTAACTGCATTCACATAAATATGGAAACTTTTTAATTTATAATCTGGTTTACAGAGTCTCCTTTCACACTTGCATATCAAGTTTTCAGTATTTAAGTAAAAATCAGAATTGTAACTCTCTTTAAACGATTTTGAACTCAGAAGGGTAATTTGTCATTTTATGACATCAAGTAAGTATAATTCACAAATAGGAATGAAAAAGGTTTAACCTCTCATTTTTGTTCTTCAAGAAGTCTCACCTGTAAACAACATACACCATATTTATTATAATTTTTCTTCTCATCCAAAATGTAGGTTTATAGTTCCTAAGAAACTATAAACCAATGAGAATATAATTATCCATGTTTTGTTCTTTATGTAGTTTTCATCTTTTTCTCTGATTTTATTACTACAGGCTTTTATTCCTCCCTTTTTATGATCTCACATCATATGATCAGAACAACTGGCAAAGAAACTCCGGTTTGAAAATAGGTACAGAAGAAGTGTAAATACACATTGATAGAGTGGATTATAAACTATTTACCTCAATGTAGAGTGAATATATTAGTGTGAGAATTAATTTATGAGTTTTGGTAAAAGCGATTAGATGTAGTTCTTACAGAGAATCAAATGGGAGGTTCATAGAGCTTGGGCATAAAACCAGAGATCTAGAAAATATTTATAGTTTCTTAGAAATTCTTAAATGTTTTCCTGTTAGATTATATTTTTTTGAAAACTACAGACAGTTCTATTAAAATATCGGGAAAACTTGGGTTTTGTGAGTGCAGTAAATGATGGCAAAATAGTACGATGTTTCAAATCCTGGTTTATTGAATATTATTTCTAAGTTTATTGTATTAGAATAACACATAAGTGAAAGATATTATATTTATTAGATATATATTGACCTTGACCAAGAATACTATTACCTAGCCTGACCTGTGATACCATTTAGAAAGATTAGACCCTCAGTCACAGATAAATCTTTATCAATTTGTGTATGTTCTTCATGATTTATAGCTAGAAGTGGTAACTGCTAAAATCAGAAAAGATATCAGGAATATATATGTACAAGTATCAATTAAGTTGAAAATTAATTTGATATTAGGAAAAACATTTGGTTACTGGGTACAGGGTATTCACCTACTTCAACCATTACAGCTTATCTACCAGGCTACATTGATCTTGTATATTTCATTTCTACAAGCATTTTATCATGGAGTAACAGACACCAGATTCACTTTAACTGCAACCTTTTTTAGTCTCTTTTTTAACTTAAAAATGTGTTTTGAAATCAATTTGAATATATTTCTAATGCTTTTGAGTAAGTGAAAAGTGATTAAAGCATAATGTATGCCTTATGGCCATATTTTCCCCTTAGTAATATGCACTTAATACCTACTATACTCATCCACATGTAACTAGATATGATTGTACTGTTGCTGGTTAAGCATATAAATTACAATATACATTTAATTACAAAAACATAAGTTTAATGACTAGTTTTCCCTAATTTAGAGGGATTGTCAAAGTGATGGAAGAAAAAGCCATGATATTTAAACAAAGGGTGTTAAAAACACTAAATATATATATATTGTGAATTGAATACATATATCACCTTTGTAACTTCTTGTTTTGATTCATGTTGTTTAAGAAGAGCCCAGGAAATGCAGGAAGTGGTGTTTCCAGTAGTCTTGATTCTCAGACTTGGGTATTTTATCTTAAAAGCACAATGTTGAGACTTAGGCTCTAACTTTGCCTTACATCAACAGGGTTACCTCACAAATTTAGTAGTCACCTTCTTATTCTTAAAGATAATAAACCCTGGAATATAAATGATAAAACTTTCTGATCAACATTAAAAAAAATGTTGAATTTCTAAAATTAAAGGAAATATCTTAATGTTTTTTCATAACATTGTATTGCAATAAAATTATCTATCTCAGTGTAATTGTGTAAAGGCAGTGAAATTTACAACAGAAAGGTTCTATATTAATTTGTTTTATATAACTGAACATATAATATTTTATCTTTCAGGTTAATGGTTTGTCTAACAAATACTGGGGCTGGGGGCTAGAAGATGATGAGTTATATGCTAGAATGAAGAAAGCCAAGTTAAATGTAAGAAAGCATTTTCTCAATTTTTTTATTGATTATGAAAATTGGAATATTTGTACTATACACCTGGAAAAAAGTTAAAGCACCCCCAAATATTTTTCAGGATTGCTTATTGAAAATA